GGGCGCCGAGTGCGCAGGCGCCGCGTAGACCCAGGGCCTGGCTGGGCACCGGCTGCGAGGCGAGCGCGGGGGGCGCAGCAGGCTCCCGGGCTCCTGGGCACTGGCAGACGCCGCCACGGCCGGGGTTCAGAGACAGGTCGGGGTCGGCGGACCTTTCGCCTCTTTCCAGGTCAGGGTTCCCAGGCGCATGGAGGAGGAGGGGCTGCGTGAGAGATGCTGAGTGTCGGTCGTTGGGGGCCGGAAGTTGGGCGCTGGACGTTGAAGTCGGGCGTTGAAGTCAGGCGTTGGGCGGGTACGAGGGGTCTGGACGTGGAGAGAGGGTGGGAGGGCAGAGGAGAGGGTGGAGCCTGGGCTGCCAAGGGCAGGAGTAGGGCTGGAGGTTTTGGTGGGGAGGATTCTGCATTGGGAGGAGGGGTGGGCGGGAGATGCAGGAATTCAGGTGCAAGCAAGCAGGGGCCCTGGAGTGGGTTTGGGGACAGCACTTCAAGGCATGACTCCCCAAATGTGAACGTTCTCCTTCTTTCTAAAAGAAACTCGTTTGAGAATTCAGTGACTTCGTTTAATTCAAAGCTATAGTGCAAATGATATTACTACTTAACAGGAGGTGTTTTCCACAAAGCTATAGTGCAAATGATACTAATACTTAACAGGAGGTGTTTTCCACAAAGCTATAGTGCAAATGATACTAATACTTAACAGGAGGTGTTTTCCACAAAGCTATAGTGCAAATGATACTAATNTGTGCCAATAGCTTTTCTTGGCAGTAGGGCCCCTGCTATAAATGTTTGCTTTGTTGGCCATATGGAGTTAGGGCAGATGCTTCTGGTTCCCTCAGTGAGACACTAGGGTACTGGATGGGAAAATGCAAGGCCGAGGAGTCTGACCTGGATTTTCATCTCAATTGTGTAAGGTGCTGGCCCTGGGAGGTTTGACAAGTTATTTCAACTTCCCACCTCTCCCTTATTCATCTGTAGGCATAAAGAAATAGGAGTACTTTAATCTTCAAATTATTTCCATCTTAAACGTGCAGCTTAAACTAGTTGGATGTGAGTGGAAGAAGTTTTTTGTGTGTGGGAGTGGTATAAGAGTCAATTAGAAATAATAGCTGCTCTTTAAGTGCTTAGTAAGTACTGTGCTAAATGGTTTGCGTACAGTCTCTCATTTAATCTGCATGATTGGGATTTAAGAAGAAGTTACTATTGCTATCCAGACTTTACTGACTGAGTCCTAGAAAGCTGAAGTGGTTTGCCGAAGATAGCATAGCTAAATGAGGAAGACGGTTCTTGGATCTGACTGACCTCAAAGCCCATGCTCTGTTGACCCACTGAGTTTAAAAACAGAGTGTTTCCTGTGAGTAGGAAACACTCGCTGAATGCATGGGGTTACCAGGAAGAGGAAAGCAAACCTCAGAGGGGAAAAAAAAAGAACAAACAAACCACAGTTGAGTATCTCTGCATACACTTATGATATTAAAAGAATTAACTCACTGTGGGTTTACTCTAGCCTTTAGATCGTGGTCTCCTGGAGGGAAAAGAGGGTGGATTTCATTGTTTGCAGTATATCCTAGGATACTCCCAGCAGCATGAAAGAGGGGGAGCAAGATTCCGAGGGAGTAAAAGAGAGGTTGTGCCCTTAGGGAGCTTCACATCTTTATTGGGGTCAAATCATGAAGCAGAGAACAAAAAGTCATTCAAAGTGGAAGCCTCGCTTTTGCCAGTAGAACTATAGAAATCGTTGCTTCCAGTCCACTGCTCTTTTATTACAGCAGTGATTCCCAATCCTAAGAATATAAAGATCCCTTTAACATAAAGAAATTTGGGGACCCTTTGAATTAAATAAACTCTTATGTTAGCTAAAGAAGCATATAACAGTTTCTATGGATTCAGACGTGATTAAATACTTTTTCATTCCATTAGCATGTAAAAAAAGGGGGGGGGATTATGTATGGGGAAAATTGCTTGTTTTAAAACTGAGCAGGGTTAGCCCATGAGGTATCATGACCCTTGCAGCAATATCTGTCACACCTCTTTACCTGTATATCAGAAGTCTGCTGCCTGAGGTTGGGAATCACAG